GACAACTGGTTTTTAAATAAATGTGTTTAGTGCCGATGAAAAGACCCTATAAGTGAATCAATATTAACGCCAAAATATGCAATCTTTAATGACCTGACAACAGTATCGTAACTATATCCCTTCTTAATAAGTCTATTTAAAGGTTTTGTTAGCTTCAGAGGTGAATACTGACATTTTTGTGCTTTATAAAGAATATTTCCATAAAAAATTGGATGTGACTGCACACTTTTAAAGTCAATAAACCATCAGTGAAGGTGCAGTGAAATAATTTCCATGAAAATGAGACATGCCAATGGTAAATACAACTGCATACCAAATATCATTGACTTACCATTTATGGTTCATCTTATACTGACCTTATAACAAACTTTAACATGCAAACTATGCATAAGTTTTAAAGTCAATAAACCATGACTGATGGAGTGTGCCAAATAATCTCCATGGATATGGAATGTGCATTGCTTATACAAATCAGACTTATCATTAGTGGTTCCCCTTAAACTGACCTTATCACAAACTTTAACATGTGAACTAAGAAAAAGTCAATAGACAATGACTGAAGGGGCAGGGCCAAATACTCTCCATGGAAATGACATGTGCCAATGCTAATACAACTGCAGACTAAATATTATTGACCTAACATTTGTGGTTCTTATTCAACTGACTGGTATTTTTCGCAAATATCCCTCCTGAACATGATAAAACTGTTCATTATATTGATATCATATATAAAATTGTTTGTAAAGTTTCTAATTTTCAGGCTTTTGCAAAACGAAAAGGTCCCAACATTTTTGAAAAAACAAGAAGAGCACCACTGGACAGCAACTTCCAGTTCTTGTTTCTATCCCATTATACAATGTGAAAATATATGCAAAACTGGTTGAATATCAACCAAGCAATCTAATCTGTATTAATTTTTGTAAGAACAGGTGGTTATGCACAGACAAAAAACTCATTTGGTCTCTTGTGGAGAGTTTGTCTCATTGGCAATCATACCACATCTTCTTATTTTTATATCTACAGAAATCCAGAATTATAGCTCTATGACTTCAAATCTATGAACTACTTAGTTAAAACCATATGATAAGAAATTTCAGCATTAAGAATACTATGTCCTTTTCAGATACTGTGGATTCATTATTATTCGTGGGATACCAATTTTTGTTGATTTTGGGAGAATAAGGAAGCCACAAATTTAAATGTTCAACAAATTATAAATATTCCATGAGCTTGTATACAGATTTTTGAAAAACCACAAAATTTAATATCTACAAAAAAATACATTTTTTCTGTGTCAATCCATGAAAATTGGTACCCAACTTATAAAAATAAATGAACTCACAGAAGGACAAATCTATATCCGACAGCCGTCTATACTTTAAAAGTACTAAGAGAAGTAGTCTTTTTTATTACTGATTGTGGCAGACATATTTATAGGCTTCTAATAAAACTGAAGACACTACATAATAAAACTTTATATTCTTGTAAATATTTGTGGCAGACATGTTTAAAGGCTTCTAATAAAATTGAAGACACTATGTAATAAAATTTTATATTCTTGTAAATATTTAACAATGTATATAAAAAGAAATCTGAACACATGCATTTTACTCACAACTTTTCAGAAGTTTACAACAGATCTTTTTTTTCGATAAAAATCTAATGCTACATTTGTATTTTTGAACTCGAATCTGAGACTTGGATAAAATACAGCAAAGGTAAAATTAATAGTACCTGACACTCTGAACATAGCTGTCAAAATCTACTAAGTTTTAGAATTGGAATGAACTGAAGCTTCATAAAACAAAACAACTATGTGGTAAACTGGATTACCTATATTTACTACCCTTTGAAATAATTTTTCACACAACTTGGGAATCTGTCATCAGAATACCAACTTCTGTCTTAAGCCACAATTGTTTAGTATACATTTCTTGCATTAAGATCATAAATAAACTGTTATCACAGAGATATGTCTCGCCTTTTTGTAATTTTGATAATGCAAATGTTGAAATTAAAATAGCAATACTTTAACATGTAAGTTATGCAAATATTCAAAGTCGATGAACCATGACTGAAGGTACATGGCTAAACAATCTCCATGGGAATGAGATGTGCCAATGCTAAAGCCAAATACCATTGACTTATTATAAGTTGTTCCCTTTAAACAAACCTAAACACAAACATTAACTTGTAAACTATTTAAAAGTTTCAAAGTCAATGAACCATGATGAGGGGGTGGGGCTATATAATCTCCATGGAAATGATACTTGCAAATGCCAATAAATTTGCATACCAAATATCATTGACTTAACATAAGCAGTTCATCTCAAACTGATCTAATCACAAACAAATACATGTAAACTAAGCAAAAGTTTCAAAGTCAATAGACCATGACTGAGGGGGCAGGGCCAAATATTCTCCATGGAAATAAGATGTGCTTATGCTTATACAACTGAATACCATTAACATTGGCCTACCACTAATAGTTCCCCTTGAACTGACCTAATCACAAACTAATACATGTAAACTAAGTAAAATTTTCAAAGTCAATAGACCATGACTAAGGGGGCGGAGCTAAATAATCTCCATGGAAATGACATGTGCCAATGCTAATACAACTGCACACCAAATATCATTGACCTACCACTTGTGGTTCACCATAAACTAGAACTAATCTCAAACTATACATACATTGTTGACGCTGCCGCCGCCACCGGAAACAGCATACCTATGTCTCGCTTTATGACTCCATCAAGGCGAGACAAAAACCTTTTACAGAATATTTAAGTCCCAAAATATACAATATCCCTCTTACAAAATTTTAATTTCATAGGTTATGTTAGATTTATATAGATTTCTGATACATTTATAAGAAAATATGTAAAAACATAAACACCCTCTGAAACATTAAATAAAAACAAAATGAAAATCACCAAAAATATATTCTTGACTTTTTTAAAAAGTCATATGCCAAAAAAAAAGAAGATTAAACCTTATTTTCAAAAATATTTTAAATATATATACAATATATGTATATTGTCTCAAAATATAAAATTTATTTGTACTAATTTTAGAAGCTGGAGGAAGAGTGATGCTTTCCAAAATTTTCTCCTGTTTTAGAGCAAGTACAAATAAAGTTATGTTTTCAACAATGAACATAAATGTTAACTTTTATGTCATTTGGTCTCTAGTGGAGAGTTGTCTCATTGGCAATCATACCACATCTTATTTTTATATATATTTATTTTTATCCTGGAATTTAATCCTGACACTTTTGTACAATATACAGTTGGCTGGATGCGGGATAACATAATTTAAAATCTTCATCAATATGTCATTGAAATAAAGAATATAATGACCATAAAAGTCACAAAATTCTGGATTCTCAATTTTATTCCCAAACTTCCCACTTATATACGAGTACCTACAGTTAACAATATGTATGTAATAATACCTAAACAACAATTTAACAATCATTGCATTTATTTTAGTACTGAACAAAAAAAATTTTCCCATGAAGGTAAATTTGAAGAAGGAATGAGCTTCAATATGAATCATGATAAGAAGATTTTACAATCATTTAATTACTTAACAAATATAAAAATCATTTTGATTATTGCACTACTTCTGATTTGATGATGATGCCCAAAATAAAAGATTTTGAAATCTTAAAAAAATTTGATATGGTTAGATTTTTTTTCATTCCAGTAATGTCTGTATGATAGTTACTAAAGAATATATAGAAAACCCTATAAGTAGTTTAAAAGAGCTATTTAGAAACCTTTGTTAATAAAATGCTCCGCAGGGCGCAGCTTGATACGACCGCAGAGGTCGAACCCTGAACAGTTGGGGCAAGTATGGACACAACATTCAAGCTTGATACAGCTCTGAATTTGGATTGTGATTAAATATTTGACACAGCATAGGTTTCTGACACAGAATGAATGTGGTCTAAGAACTTAAAAATTTTAAATTGGACATTCACCTATTATGGTCCAATATCCAAAATCTAAATACATGGTTAGATTCAGCATATCAAAGAACCCCAAGAATTCAATTTTTGATGAAATCAAACAAAGTTTAATTTTGGACCCTTTTGACCTCAATGTGGACAAAGTTGATAACGGGACCCAAAAATCTAAATACATGGTTAGATTCAGCATATCAAAGAACCCCATATATTCAATTTTTGTTGAAATCAAACAAAGTTTAATTTTGGACCCCGATTTGGACCAACTTGAAAACTGGGCCCATAATCAAAAATCTAAATACATGTTTAGATTCAGCATATCAAAGAACACTAAAAATTCAATTTTTGTTAAAATCAAACTAAGTTTAATTTTGGACCCTTTGGACCTTAATGTAGACCAATTTGAAAACGGTACCAAAAATTAAGAATCTAAATACACGGTTAGATTCGGCATATCAAAGAACCCCAATAATTCAATTTTTGATGAAATCAAACAAAGTTAAATTTTGGACCCTTTGGACCTCAATGTGGACCAATTTAAAAACAGGGCCCAAAATCCAAAAACTTAATACACGGTTATATTCAGCATATTAAAGAACCCCAAGAATTCAAGAATAAAACCCCATTGAAATTGATCAAGAAATAAGCAATTTATAAGAAGTATCTTCTTTTGCACAATACTGTGCAATTGAATATTTCTTGCTATTGCGCAATACTGTACAATTGACAATTTCTTGCTATTGCGCAATATTGTGCTATTGGATATTTCTTGCTATTGCGCAATACTGTGCAATTGAAGATTTCTTGCTATTGCGCAATACTGTGCAATTGAAGATTTCTTGCTATTGTGCAATACTGTGCAATTGAAAATTTCTTGCTATTGCACAATACTTATTATATAAAAATTTACACATCCTGTTTGGTGTGTATCTCCTACCATATCATTATTATTTACTTTTAAATATAAATCAGAAATAACCAACTTAAAATGGAAAATTTTAAAAGAAAAAAAAAGGAAAAATAGAAAAAAAAAAGGAAAAAAAAAAAATCCCCCACCCCAAATTTTTTGAACCCCCTTATGATTCATCACCCCCAAACTCAATCCCAGCCTTCCCTTTGTGGTATGGTACCTTGTAGTACAATTTCAGAGAGATCCATACACTTGAACACAAGTTATTGTCTTGAAACTAGAAAAATGCTTATTTTTGGCCCCTTTTTGGCCCCCAATTCCTAAACGTTTCAGGCAATTACCCCCGAACTCAATTCCAGCTTTCCCTTTGTGATATGAAACCTTGTAGTACAATTTCAGAAATATCCAAACACTTACACACAAGTTATTGTCATGAAACTAGAAAAATGCTTGTTTTTTGCCCCTTTTTTGGCCCCTAATTCCTAAAATTTTGAGGCAATTACCCCCAAAATCAATTACAGCCTTCCCTTTGTGATATGGAACCTTGTGGTACAATGTCAGAGAGATCCATACACTTACACACAAGTTATTGTCTGAAAGTTACAAAAATGCTTATTTTTGGCCCCTTTTTGGCCCCTAATTCCTTAACTGTTGGTACCATAACCCCCAAAATCAATCCCAACCTTCCTTTCGTGGTATTGAACCTTATGGTAATATTTCATGGAGATCCATTCACTTAAACTAACGTTAGAGTGCGAAAACCAATGTGTCTTCGGACGACGCCGGACGACGCCAGACGACGACGACGCCAACGTCATACCAATATACGACCAAAAAATTTTTAATTTTTGCGGTCGTATAAAAATTGTATTCTGGTGTAAAAATAGATAAGCCATAATTACAAAATTCATCTTGTTGTTATAGTAACAATATAAATAAACAGTTGTACCATGAGCGCATGCTACGCCCATCGCTTTTTCTATAGATATAAACCAGTCACCAAAGTTTCATGAAAACTGCTCAAAGCATTTTTGAGTAATTGTCCGAAAACTGGAAAATCCCCCTTTTTTTAACGAATAAAACCCCACAACTTGGAAAAACTGGAAAATCCCCCATTTTTAATGAATAAAACCCCATAACTCGGAAATGTAAAATTCAAAATTTATAAAAATCGAAAGGGAGCTCACATCAATAGATATAAACTATTCACCAAAGTTTCATGAAACCTGTTCAAAGCATTTTTGAGTTATTGTCTGAAAGCTGGAAAATGTCCCTTTTTTAATGAATAAAACCCCATAACTCAACACTATATTCAATAATGTGGTATATCATAACTTATTTTCATATCATTCAACAAATTGCAGTTACTTTGAATAAACTAGAATGGTTTCAGATCATATGTTCTAAAGTTTTTCAAAATCTTAGTAAACCAAACATCAGATAGATTCTCTCAATTATTACATACATTAATTGAGGCTTAACAACTGTATGAATTCTTCAGCATGCAGTAAACCTAAAGGTAGATAACAAAATGGCTGTAATATTCTTTTCCACAGAATTCATAAATACAGGACGTTAATTGACATTGATTCATTTGAATGCAAGCTGAGTCAGCATCTTCCTAGTTGGTGATACGTCTGGTTTTGTTGGTTTTTGTTTCTTTGGTGTAGTAAACAAATCCTCTCCATGAGATCTCTTTTTGGGTGATCCTGGTGACGAAAAACTGTCAAACTCCTCAATACTAAGAGAATCTGCAGATGAATTACTCTCCTTTTTAGAACCTTTTGTCTGATAGTTTGAAAAAGAGTCTTGAAGATCTGTATTATGAGCTTTTGACATGACTGATGTTATTTGACTGTTCTGGGCCATGGAGGCTTCTAACAAGTCACAGGCAGCAGTTAAGTCACCGTTTATTTCAGAATTTTCTGTCATGTCTAAGGAGTTCATCAGATCAAAACTGTTGTCATTTTCAGTACTACTTATGTTATTGTGATTATCCGTATTTAGACATCTTTTGTTGTCTTGGGTTGCTTCAATGTAAGTATCATCTCCATAATCAGACCACTGGCTGTCCGAAAGTGGTGACCGAGGTGCCACATCATCAGAATCCATTATACGGTCTAAATGTGGCTTCCTTAAGAAGTTTTGGAGTCCATTTCTTTGACATAAAGGTGTTGAAGTAGAAGGTTTTATGCTACTGATATTGAGTGATGTGCTAGGTCCAGCATATGCATTTTCTTTGTCTTTCAAAATGGTGAACTTTGGCTCTTTAGGGCTTTCCTCCATTGAAACTAATTCATCTAAAATTTCCTCCACCTACAAAAGACATGTGTCTTCTGAATAGAGATATACATAGTCAATGTTGTAGTTTATTATAAAACATTTGCTTTTGTAAAATAGGTAATTTTGTACTTATTTGTAACATATTTAGTCTCTAAAAAGAAATACTGTTGTACTAAATAATCTCCCATGAGGGCTCAAGTTGTACTAAATAATCTCGCTAGAGTACACATGTTGTTCTAACTGGTAACAAGTGTAGTCTCAAGAGAGGCACTGTTCAACTAACAGGTACTATGTCCTCAATGGAGAGGTACTGTTATACTATGTCCTTAATGGAGAGGTACTGTTATACTATGTCCTCAATTGAGGGGTACTGTTATACAAACTAGTAATAAGTCCTCAGTATACAGGTACTGTTCAACTTAAGGTAATTTTTGTCCGTAAAAGTGAAAAGTAATGTTTTACTTCCCACAAAGATCAATTATACTTACTAGTAACATGTGTATTCTTAAGACAAGTACTGTTCAACTTAATGGTAGTATGTCCTCAATGTAAAGGGTTGGACTTGCTGGCAATGAATATTAGAAACTAGAGGCTCCAAGGAGCCTGTGTCGCTCAATTGATATTTTTGTTTACAATTGATGCATGAAATAATGCAACCATCATACTTTTGCTTTAGTTTCAGAGATATAAGCCAAAAACTGCATTTTCCCCTATGTTTTTAGCCATGTCGGCCATGTTGGTTGGCAGGCGGGGTAATCGGACACATTTTTTAAACTAGATACTCTAATAATGATTGTGGCCAAGTTTGGTTAAATTTGTCTATGTAGTTTCAGAGGAGAAGATTTTTGTAAAAGATAACAAAAATTTACGAAAAAATTGTTAAAAATTTATTTTAAAGGGCAATAACTCCTTAAGGGGTCAATTAACAATTTTGGTCATGTTTGACTTATTTGTAGATCTTACAAAAATCAAACTTGATCTGTATTTTGTGGTAATAAGCATTGTGTATAATTTTCATAACATTTGGTTGAGGCAAACTTAAGTTAGAGAACGGAAACAAAAAATTCAGCAATTTTTCCTTTTGTAAAGGGGCATAACTCTAGAATGGTACAAGTGACACAACCAAAATTCAAACTTGATCTGTATTTTGTGGTAATTAGCATTGTGTATAAGTTTTATAACATTTGGTTGAGGCAAACTTAAGTTAGAGAAAGGAAACGAAAAATTCAGCAATTTTTCCATTTGTAAAGGGGCATAACTCTACAACAGTAAAAGTGACGCCACCAAAATTCAAACTTGATCTGTGTTTTTTGGTAATAAGCATTGTGTATAAGTTTCATAACATTTGGTTGAGGCAAACTATAGTTAGAGAACGGAAACGAAAAATTCAGCAATTTTTCCATTTGTAAAGGGGCATTACTCTACAACGGTTTAAGTGACGCCACCAAAATTCAAACTTGATCTGAGTTTTGTGGTAATAAGCATTGTGTATAAGTTTCATAACATTTGGTTGAGGCAAACTAAAGTTAGAGAACAGAAACCAACTTTGGGACGTACGGACGGACGTACAAGGGTAAAACTTAATGCCCCCTCCGCTACGGCGAGGCATAAAAACTGCAAAATTTCCTTAAAATTACCAATTCAGGGGCAGCAACCCAACAACAGGTTGTCTGATTTGTCTGAAAATTTCAGGGCAGGTAGATCTTGACCTGATGAACAATTTTACTTTGTGTCAGATTTGCTCTAAATGCTTTGGTTTCAGAGATAATAGCCAAAATCTACATTTTACTCCTATGTTCTATTTTTAGCCATGGTGGCCATCTTGGTTGGTGGGTCTGGTCATCCGACACATTTTTTAAACTAGATACCCCAATGATGATTGTGGCCAAGTTTTGTTAAATTTGGCCCAGTAGTTTCAGAGGAGAAGATTTTTGTAAAAGTTAACGATGACGAACAACGACGACTGACACCAAGTGACGAGAAAAGCAAAGGGCCAAGTGAGCTAAAAAACGGGGAAAAGTGATGTAATATGTCCCACAAAGAGCATCTACACTTACTGGTAACATGTTATGCAGCTGATGGTATAACGTTGTATTTCTTCTCTCTGGGTCTTTCTGTATAGCTTTTTGTAGATGATATTTTGTTCCTTCAATATGGACGGCTTTCTTTCCCCTTGTTACAGCAGTATACACATGCTGCCAGTTTTGATACTGATTGAACCCCAGTACATATACTAATGTCTCACACTCTGATCCCTATATAAAGAAATTCAAAGAGCGACTTATTTATTTCTGATAATGTTGAATAAAAAATAATAATGGCATACATACAACTGTCTCTTAGGTCTCTAATAATTATTTCAGCATTATTTTAACCTGTATCAGTTAAAACAATCCCAATTATGTAGTTACATTAATTATTTGAAGTGAGAATAAATGCCAATACATAGAACCTATAGATTTGTTATGCTTATCTATAATAGGTTATGTATATATAAATAAGATGATGTGGTTTGATTGTCAATGAGACAATTATCCACCAGAGACCAAATGAAGTAGATGTAAGCAACTATAGGTCACCATATGTTCAATGATGGGCATGTCGCTCAAATATCTCATAATTAAAGGTGTGCATCTATTTGCCTTAATTATTGTATGAAATCCTACAATTTCTCTTTTGTGAGGATTAATTCTGACTACACTCAATTCCTTACATTGTAAGGTGCACTCAATTAGGGTTTGTCAGTCCTAAGGTAAGTGGTTTATAAAATGGAACCCAGTTTCCATAGCTGATAAAACAAACTAGCAAAAAATTGCATAAACAAACTATGGTGTACATATTTTCTTTACCTACCTGAAACGTATGAATAGTACGAGCCCAGGAATGTTTCATTTTGCACTTCTGCATGACTTCTTTGTAATTTACCCATAATTCTCTAGGACATTCACGATCTTCATCAGAAAATTTTAAAAATCTGTCTGCTCTTCCTCTGTTGCTCACAGAATTGACTTCCTGATAAATAAAACAATCTGTTACATTTATACAGTATTCATATAACTGTTCTTTTCATATCAGTATGGCTATTTTATTTTTTTTATAAATCTTCAGTGAGGAGGGTAGCAAATTAAATCTCTGTGATACTGTACTGTAGAAAAATTTCCTGTATAACAGTGATTTCGATTCAAACTGCTTTTTATTTCAAACTTAAAATATTTTGTAAGCAGTATGTTTCTAAATTAGGCTGTCAGTTTTCTTGTTTTAATTGTTCACATTTTTCTTGTCGGGGCCTTTATAGCTGACTATTCAGTATGAGTTTTTCTCATTGTTGAAGGCTGTACAGTGACCTTTATTGAATACTGCCATGTCATTTAAACTCTGGCGGATAATTGTTTCATTGGCAATCATACCACATCTCCTCATTTTTATATTGATAGTTATATTGAAAAATAACGTTAATCAACAAAAATAAATGAAAATAAAAATAAGCTGTCCTTGACGTTAAGGAGAGGACCAGTAAATATTCTTCACTTCAAACACACAATTTCCAATGGAAACTTAGTTATAGAAATACGGTTACATGGACTAATCCCTTCTGACTGTAAGACCCATGGTGAGGCGACATATCAGTTTGGCTGTGGGCAATAAACAGATATGCAGCCAAGTATGGTCAGAATGGGGATGTTAATCTCCTTGCTAGTGTTGAGAATCATGCTATCAGCATATGTAAACTCTATGAAAAGTTAAATTTCTGTCCTATCCCACATTCCCTTTTTTGCCACCCTCCATTTCAGTTGGAGCAAAGGGTAGACCCTATTGGTATGCTTAATTGTTTTTATAACATCCTGAATATACATGAAATATTTATAAAACAAAATTCAATCAGTCAAATGCACATACATCTTTAATGAAGTAAATCTCTCCATTACAAAGTCTGATGGTGGCAGCAGTTTTCTTCTTCTTCTGTTTCTTGTTTGATTCATTTCTTTCTAGATTCCCTGTTGTGTTTGCTGCATTCATTGTTTCACATAGACTTGTTCTAAAATTTATACACAAAACTGATTCTCTTATTTTTTATTTTGTTAAATTTCCAAGAAATTTAAATAAAACACACCAAAGTTGCATTACAAAGTTTGAAAATACTTTTAAAAGTGAAACATCTGATCATTTGAAAGATACCATAAAATATAATTGCAATGTAAATCCTTCTTGAAAAATTCTCTTAAATACAAACAAGCATTTAATATTTACTGAATTTTTCTTATTTTTAATCAACATTGGCAATTGATGGAACAGATGTTAGTTATTAATTTAATGATGAAATCTTTTTCTGAATTAGGTAAAACTGTGTTCTATTAAGACACTGTAAAGTTGGTTTTTGTTTTTGCCACTAATTCATTAGATAGTGTTTGCAAAAAGAAAAATCGCATTTTAAATATAACAGTATTGTCTGTATGTAGAATAATGAAATCTAAATAATTTATCTCGCATACCTGTCAATTGGTCAACAATAGCAATAATAAAAAAATGCATGCAAAAATTTCTGAATAAACAATTAATCAGTTTTAAAATTTCTTTGTTTTTTCTGTGACCTCACTCAAAATCTAAAAAGATGAATACATCCTAACCAGAATATAATTACAAAACAAACCCATCAAGTGTTTGAGACATGAGTGTTATTTCCATTGCGTCTGCTGCTTGTTCAGGTTCTAAGTCTCCCTCTAAATATTTGACATCAATTTTACCACTTCCATCATCCTCATAAACCACAACCATACCATTCTTCTTCAGACAAATCTTATCACCAATTCGGAAATCCAGTTTATTTTTGTGATTCCTTGTGGTATGATTGTTGTACTTTTTACATGCATGTTCATTAATCATCTCACAATATTTACTGTAATGTAGAAATAAAGTAATTAAGTTTATATCCTGTAAAGATGAAAAGGTTTTGTTGGTGTCCATCTGTTTATCTGCCACAAATTTTCGAAATGAGTTTTTAATTTTTAATAATTTTTTAGTAATGTTGAAGAATGTACCAGATGAAGCTGACTACAGACATGGTGATATACAGTTAAAAATATAAATTTATCTAACATATGACCTCACAAAATGTTGCTACTTGTCCAATCAGAAAAAAAACCCACTGGATATTTTAATAGAAGGTATAATAAGGCCACTTTTTTGCCCATTGAATTTAATTGATTGATTGATTAATCGATTGATTGATTGGTGTTTAACGCCACTTTCAGAACTATTGTATTATTTCGTGGCGGTCAGGTTTTATTGGTGGAGGAAGTCAGAGTGCAGAGAGAACCTCCAACCATCGTTAGGAAAACTTACAATCCTAGTCAACTAAGATTAGTCAAGTGCACCTGCCACCTGTGGGATTCCAACTCACAACATCAGTGTTGACAGACTAGTGATACAGTAGTTCAACTACTTAGACCACTCGACCACCGAGGCCCCCCCTTGAATTTGAAAATGAAAACGTATTATAAACCTCCAAAATAAACCTACCAAATAACATCCTTCATATGTTGATAAGATATTAGTCTGACAGGTATCAGTATTGATAGTTTTCTATTTTATCTTACACATTTGCATTTAGGCTTTAAACTTCTTGAATTTAGTACAAAACTGCACAAAATGCCAAACAAGTCTCAATTTGAGATATTGTCATTAATATTTAGATATAAGCCAAGGCTTTACCCTAACAGATATTTTGCAATAAAATGTATTTTATAAAGATGTTAATATGTGTAAACTATCTTTTTGGGTAAAGCCTAGGCTCATATCTATTTTGTTTGAATATGTTAATCTCAACATGTTTATGACATCATAGGGGCATCACAAGTGACTCCACAATATTTTTTTGGAAAAAAATACTAGTATAAAATAATTATATGAAATATCAAGCAAAAAATTGTACCTGTAGATGATGAATACTTATGGCCATGCACTATATTTGTGTTCAAAAATAAGTCTTACTTTGTAAATGTAATAAACTGAGATCTGGTGTGGTCTTGAAGTGTGGGTTCATCTTTTAACATTCGTTGTACAACTGAAAAATACAAGAACTGACTGTAGTTACAGTTATTAAGACAAACAGATAGACAGAACTTATTTTTTTTTGTGGAAATCTCCCTTTTTAAATGAAAACTGAATACTCAAATTTTTCCAAAAAAATAGCGATGGTTGCTTTATATATTTCTTACATATGTGGCTTATTCATTCTTTTCCTGACAAGTTGTTAATTGTTTGATATACTGGTAATTAATCTGGGGTTCATAAATTTTAAGCTCTTCTTTGATCAAAACTCAATAGTGATGTCTTTTCTTACTGTCAACTATTATGACAGCATGAAAAGAGGCAGCCATGCCTGTCATTGAACTAAATGTTTTGCAATCACCAAAAAAATCGTTAAAGTTTGCCTACACATCAACTTAAATATTAAGAAAAACAGATTCTAACTTTGCTAAATGCTCATTATGACATTTCTACATTGCCATAAATTCAAGTCACACTTTGCTAGCCCCCTGTTTTAAAAACTTAATCTTTTTCTGTAGAAAAATTGGACATCTTATATATATATATATATATATTTGATTCAGTGTTACATGTTTTGCAGGTTATTTTAGTACAATGGGTTTGAAATTCATTGTTTTATGATCTTTTTGTGCTTGAGGCTTATTATTCATTGTGTTTTGTGCAAATGTGTAAAAAAGCAATGTGTAAGCTATGTTTTTTTTCTTCGTTCATTATGAAATGGACATTTTATTTCCTTTTGGTTTGTGCACTTAACTCCCCATTACAACCCTCCTTTATATATTGAAAAAAGGTACTTCACTTGGATAAATTTACTAAGAATTACTTTACAGATTTGTTATTAAAAGAAATAGGTATTTCCATAATTAATATATCTTACCTACATCATGCATATCATTACCCTCTTTGGGAACTTCATGTAAAGCAAAACTATGCTCCGCAGAAAAGATTGGGTATCTCTTTTCAGAAATGTATGTGGCATTTTGTATGATAAGGTTTGATTCAGCTCTGTGATTTGTCTTCAGTTCAACGGCAGATTTTATAGGATATGTTGACTTAAAGATGTCAGCAAGTAGATTTCCAGGTTCAATGGAAGGCAACTGTCTTACATCTCCTAAGAGAACAATTTTCCTTAGTTTTGAATTTTCCATCAGTGTTGTAAGAAGTGTTGAAAAAGTAGAAACTGCTACCATACTGCATTCATCAACAACAAGTGTCTTAACATGTCTGAACTTCCACTTAGCGTCTGGATCCTTCTGTGTTACATAAAACTTATAGCTCCATATAATCTGATGTAATGTATAACCATTTGTATTAGCTCGTCTGCCCAATAAATTAGCAGCTTTGCCTGTTGGAGCAGTGTATATGATGATAGGTTCAGAACTGTCCCTAGGATCTTCTTCCTTTGATTCTTGTGTGCCATCTTGAGGGCTACATAACATCTCAGAATCTGGTATCCTATCTTGAGGGCTACAGAACATCTCAGATTCAGGACAGTCAGGATCAATGATGTTTTCTCTAGTTTTCTGTGAGTATTTGAAGTCTTTCCAGTCCAATTCATCTCTTCCATCTATTTGTGACATTTCTTCTTTCCCATCTTCCTTCTTATCTTCTTCCTTTTTCTCTCTGTAAAACATCACTGATCATCAATACCAAAGACTAAAAAAACTTTGAAAAATGACCAAAGGTGCATGCAAAAATTTTGAGACTGTTTTATTGCTCAATTTGTCAATTAAAAATTGTTGTCCCAATTTAGAGCAAGTATATCACATCCTATTTGAATACTTTCAAATTTTCAGGTAGGGTTGATTTTATAAAATGTCTTACATTAATGCAACGTTCAGTTTTCAAGCATAGAATTATGAGATAACATATTGTTAAAATCAAAAGATTTTATGACTGGATTGTTCTGAATTCATCATGTGAGAATAAATCCTTGACATGGATTTCAAGACTTTCATAGAGCACAAGAATACAGTAATACTGACAAATAAATAATATCAAATCCTGAAAAATCTCTACGATACAAAGAGAGAATACCTCTTATCCCTAAACAAGGTCTATAAAACTGGCTATTTCCCATGTTTTCATTAGATTTTTTTCCATTATTTTCATCCCCTATCTTCAAAACATGTTCTACTTACCTTTGTAAAGACATAACTTTAGTGACAACTGTTGTTTTACCACAACCTCCTTTTCCTGATATGACAACTATCGGGTACTTTAGTAACATTTTAGCTGCTTCTAGTTGCTCTTTGTCTCCTCTAACTCTATCAAATTCTTCACTGAAAACAGTCAGATAAATGTAATCATTCTGAATTGATTTATTAATTGAGATACAAAAAGAAAAAAAATATAAGGATTGCATATTTAAATTCAGTGTGCCAAATTCCTCTTGAGATTCTTATGGGAAAATATGAACGTTTCACACAATCAATCCCATAAACTTAAAAATATCTTCAAGAATAGCGGAGGTCATGGGACTTGCTGACCATATCAAGTTTTCAGAGGATTACTATTTCTTCTCTCATAATGTTAACAAATACTTTAAGTGTCAGCTGATTTACATGAGTAAAATGTACAAAACCTTTAAAACAAAAGTAGTTTATTAGGTCTACTCTTTGTATATATAGTATTTTTTTATGAAAAATAAGCATATGTCAGTCAATGCTAAACTGTCCTGATTTTCCTTTAAGGTTTGGACTTTATATATTACTGTTAAAGATCTCCCAGTTACACTCTAGATGAAGAACAGCAATAGAAATTTGTTTCTTCAAGTTTGTCAAGAGATTGTTGTCTCATATGTACATCCATATCCTTCTTTTATTATATTATACAGACAGACACCAATGAATTATGTACACTGATTATTGGTCATAAGTTCACTGTTTTACTGATAACCAATTTATCTATTATAACAAACCTTTCCAGATCAACATCAAGTTCCCAAGGATCTTCTAACTGCTTTTTATACAGAGTATTAATTCCTTCACTTATTTTTCTTTCATAATTATATAACTGTTGTAAACACACTTTCAAGTCATTATCTATCTCAACCTCCTTGGTTATTTTGTGCCTTTTTAAGAATTTCAGTGCTTCATCAAATACTCTACACTCATTCTCCATTTTCTGTTTCAACTTGACCAATGAAATCTGTGTATGGCCATGTTGTCTGGAGTCAGTCTTCAGAAAGTCATAGATAATCAGAGCTTCTTTATTTACTTGGTCTAAGTCATCAAACAGGCCAGCTCTTTGTATTGACATCAAAGCGGCCTCACAGCCTACCAAATCATAATCTTTGTTCAGTAACTGAAAATAAATCAACAGAAAATGAAAAGATATTCCATTAAGTAAGACATATCAACTTTCTATGTGTTTGAACATCCCTGACTTTCAAATGATTAGGGTTGAGTTTTCCTGATGAAGGTAAATCCACAAACATGCTTCAGTTGCACAAAATTTATATATAAAGTGTTATTTTCATTTATCAGAACATAATATATCATAGTACCAAAACCAATAAAATGCTTATCTGAGCGCAGCCTGATAAGACTGCAGAGGTCGATCCCTGAACAGTTGGGGCAAGTTTGGACACAATATTCAAGCTTGATACTGTCTGAATTTGGATTGTGATCAAATTTTTGACATAATATAGGTTTCTGACACAAAATAAATATGGTCAAAGATCTTAAAAATTTATTGCACAATACTGTGCTATAGTGCAATACTTTCAATTGAAGATTTCTTCTTGAAACTTTTCAAAAAATTTGAAATTTCAAAAATTTTGAAGAAAAAAAATCCCCCACAATCTTTTTGACCCCCTCTTGGAGTAATTGCCCCAAACTCAATCCCAGCCTTTCCTTTGAGGTATGGAACCTTGTAGTACAATTTTAGAGAGATCCATACACTTAAGTTATTGTCTTGAAACTAGAAAAATGCTTGTTTTTGGCCCCTAATTCCTGCATGTTTGGGGCAATTACCCCCAAGCTCAATCCCAGTCTTCCCTTTGTGATATGGAACCTTGTGGTACAATTTCAGTGAGATCCATACACTTACACACGTTATTGTCGGGAAACTACAAAAATGTTTATTTTTGGCTCCTTTTTGGACCCTAATTCCTAAACTGTTGGTACCATAACCCCCAAAATTAATCCCGACCTTCCTTTTGTGGTATTGAACCTTCCTGTAAAATTTCATAGAGATCCATTCACTTAAACTAAAGTAATTGTCCAGAAACCAAATGTCTTCGGATGACGACAACGACGACGCAGACAACAACATCATAGCATTATACGAACTCAAAATTTTTTTTTGCGGTTGTATAAAAATGAAAGTATACAGATGGATGACTCCAATGAAGACTTGGACAACATTGAAAGCTTTTACATGAGTAATTGATGAGCATTGTAGTTGCACTGAAAAGCAGTATTTTTGCCTATTCATTTTCAAAGAAAACAAGAATATTGTTTAAGTTAAATTTTTCAGTATAATATGTGCCACAATATCTCACTTATGTTTTGATAGTTCACAAACCTTTTTGAATCCAAAAACCCATGGTTTAAGGTCTAAAGCCCTGCTGAGATCTTTAACAAGACTGTCATTTTCAGGGTTCTCCATGATGGCTTTGAACTGCATGGGCAGCAGTTGTGACAAATAAGATACTAACTTCGGATATTTTAAAGCCTTTGATATACATGCCCACTCTGAAAAAATATATATCTTATCATATTTTTCATACAGCATCAACAAGCAAAAATAAACGAGTGGGTCAAAAAATGCTAAAAAACTGGAATGCAGTTACAAAAGTAATATAATGACTTTTGCAATTTTTGGCAGTATAAAGGGGTATTTTTTAATGACAGATTTTTCACATTCCAAACACTGGATAACTCTTTTTCTTTACCCTAACATAGCTTCCTTCTTAAAAAGATAAGTATAGTGCAAACTTTTTATGACTGAAACTTATAGCTAAATGAGCTGTAGAATTTTATAAATTTATTGTACATTTACTTAGTGTTGTTACATCTGTACCTGATGGATAGTGTCATATCCTTATCCAAGTTCAAAAGGAAATTATTAGATATGAAAATTGGCATATCATTCAACGTTGTTTATGAAAAATCTATCCATCATAAAAATACCTTCAGAGATTGCTTCCATGGTTAATATTATGAGAATACATTTAATAACATTTTCCCTCTTTTTCAAAATATGTCTTTAGAACTCCAAATATTGTACTTACAACTATTTGCAGATTAAATCCCTCAAAAATTGCAGACTGACTAAACATTTAATATTCCTTGACTTATTCTAATAAAACGTACCAGTTGTCTTCAATGCTGTCAATACTTTTTCTGCTGATAACTTTCTATCTTCTGGCAGGAAGTTTTCGAATTCATATATTAACTCTTCAAGTTGTTCAAATTTCAATCTTCTGTTATTTCCACTGTGTCTGAAATAATTTTTACAAATAAGATGCATCTCACTATATTATTCTGATTCTGTTAGTTCTTCATCTTAAACTGTTCTTAACCAAACATTAACCTTAACCAAAACATGTATTCGAATTTTTCATCGCACAGATGCACTATACCCTTCTGTTAAAATGCTACATCGAGTAAAATATTATTACAATTCTTAAGCCTTGTTTTACAAGAGGAAATCTTTATACTCTCCAACAGTTAGCAGTTTTCATCTGAAATCAATCACTAAAACCATGGCATTTAATATTTTGTTGATAAAGAAAAATAAGCTTATTTAATTGTAATAATGTAGTTTATTGATTACCCCTTCACATGAAGTATCAATGAATATATGATGACTTCAATCTTTACAATGCTTGACATATTGAATAGACACTTCTTTATCATTGAAGACTTTCTTTAGACCTCTGTCTTTAGATTTTTGGGTTATTTCGGTTGCAGTCTCATTGACTTATACCCAACATCATTCATTCATAGAAACTTCCTAATGTAAGATTATTGTTCAAGACCTTTCAGAAACTGACAGAACAGAAGGGCCACAATAAAGATCTGTTCCTTAGATATATGTTATTTTTCATCAATTCATGAATTTTTTGTCTGGTTTAATTTCACACCCATTTAAATTTGTCTTCAAATTAGAAATGCATGACAAATATTCTTACCAAAATCTAATGAATAAATCTATAACTTGCTCAAGAGTTTCATTCATTTTTATCATCCCAAATTCATAAGTTTTTAAACTTCAAACTGACATTTTAACCATTCCTTTGCTATATAGCATTCTAACATGAAAACTTACTCTAAATATTGTAAAAATTCATCAATGTAAATATATGAATCATTGCCATTTTGTCGGTTTTCTTGGCCCTCTTCCGCTTTACTTAATGTTTTGCTTAGAAACATGTTGACTAGTTTATCTCTGACTACTTTATCGTCCTGTCTGATCTGGTATGTCAAACTTGTGCCATCTTTAGGATATCTTGTACGTTTGTCTCCAGTTAAAAACCTTGTGCGTAGTATAGAAATTTTCCACCATGGATCTATGAAGTGAAATGGAGCTGCAACTTTGTTGCTTATGTTAGGTCTGTCAAGATCTTTCAAAATTCCTGAAAGAATACAGATACTAAGCATTTTAACATTAATTTTACAGATATGACAAACGTGTATTAAAACTTAATCTAGTAACAGATTATATGCTAAAATAAATTGTTATGACTATCCATGAAGTTAGTTGCCCTTAGTTTCAAGTGTTCATAGAGGTTTCTGCACATAGAGCATAACCACCCTATTTTAAAAAGTAATCCTTGTTCTTCTTAGAAAGTTTTCAAGTCACAAAATTATTTACAAAACAAGGTTTTTTTCTTTTAAAATGTCAAGCATGCTGAAAAATATTCAATCTAAAATTCTGTTTAGTATTTACCCTATTATTTTATATTTAAACATGTACAATACATGTGCCCTACTTGTAGATAAAACTGAAGCAGTATGACAAGAACTTAAGAGGGTACAAACTGTGACAAGAACTTAAGAGGGTACAGACTGTGACAAGAACTTGAGGGTACAAACAGTGTGACAAGAACTAAAGAGGGTACACACAGTGTGACAAGAACTCAAGAGGGTACAAACAGTGTGACAAGAACTTAAGAGGGTACAAACAGTGTGACAAGAACTTAGAGGGTACAAACAGTGTGACAAGAACTTAAGAGGGTGCAAACAGTGTGACAAGAACTTAAGAGGGTACAAACAGTGTGACAAGAACTTAAGAGGGTACAAACAGTGTGACAAGAACTCAAGAGGGTACAAACAGTGTGACAAGAACTTAAGAGGGTACACACAGTGTGACAAGAACTTAAGAGGGTACAAACAGTGTGACAAGAACTTAAGAGGGTACAAACTGTGGCAAGAACTTAAGAGGGTATAAACAGTGTGACAAGAACTCAAGAGGGTACAAACAGTGTGACAAGAACTTAAGAGGGTACAAACAGTGTGACAAGAACTCAAGAGGGTACAAACAGTGTGACAAGAACTTAAGAGGGTACACACAGTGTGACAAGAACTTAAGAGGGTACAAACAGTGTGACAAGAACTTAAGAGGGTACAAACAGTGTGACAAGAACTTAGAGGGTACAAACAGTGTGACAAGAACTTAAGGGGGTACAAACAGTGTGACAAGAACCTAAGGGGGTACAAACAGTGTGACAAGAACTTAGAGGGTACAAACAGTGTGACAAACTTAAGAGGGTACAAACAGTGTGACAAGAACTTAGAGGGTACAAACAGTGTGACAAGAACTTAAGAGGGTACAAACAGTGTGACAAGAACTTAGAGGGTACAAACAGTGTGACAAGAACTTAGAGGGTACAAACAGTGTGACAAGAACTTAGAGGGTACAAACAGTGTGACAAGAACTTAAGAGGGTACAAACTGTGGCAAGAACTTAGAGGGTACAAACAGTGTGACAAGAACTCAAGAGGGTACAAACAGTGTGACAAGAACTTAGAGGGTGCAAACAGTGTGACAAGAACTTAGAGGGTACAAACAGTGTGACAAGAACTTAGAGGGTACAAACAGTGTGACAAGAACTTAGAGGGACAAGAAGGTACAATACAATACATATTTGTCCTTAGAAGAACCCTACTTATGAAATGATATGTAGCCTGATGACTGCAATGAAATGAAACTGACTAATTAACATACCCTGACAACTTTTCATCTTTCTTCCTTCATAGAGTTGTTTCCCTTGTCCAATACCATTCATCTCCTGATAGCTTAAGAACTGAATGTCCTCTTCTTCCTCTTCAAAATCGTCCTCATCATGTTCTGGTAAATCATCATCTTTCATGAAATACCCACAAACCATGTGACAGAAATGATCAGTATTTCTCTCCTTTCTTTTGTTGTACATATCTACAGAAAATAATAGTTTCTTTAAATACATTTGTATGGAGGACCTTAGAACATTTCTTCTTGTCATATCAGTTTAATGAAACAGTACCATAACATGTTTATCAATACTGTGAAATACAACATTTGAGGTATGTTGTATGTAAGTCAATGTTTACAACAGAACAACAAGTTTAAATACTTTTGCCAGAAAAAGTTTTGTCGGTCTGCAAAGAAAATGAAAATTATTACCATTTTTTACTAACATGCACTAACAACACTGAAATATACAAGCTACTACTTCATCTTCAAATAGACAGACACATACTAAGACTAGAAAGTTTAGGAACTGGCTATAAAATATCTGATATAACAAATTTGACATAAACAACTTAACAGTTAAATTCCTCTCTATATATAAGACATATTTTATTTCAAACAAAAAAGAAACAAAAATAGATGTTTTCAAAATTTTCAAATTGGAATTTAACAAAATCATAAAATGAAATGTGATCAGAAATATTGAAACTTTATTAAAAATATCAAAATATTTCAACTCATTGTAAGTTATATCTGTAGTGTGTAACAAACAAAACTTAACCCATGCTATTTTTCATGAATATAAATAGACCACAAGGTCTATTCACTATTGTGCCAAATATTCATTGCCTAAAAATATAACCTATTGATATGCAATTAGCATATTTTTAGACTTTTACCTTTGTATTTTATACCATTTAGCATGGTCAAACACTTTATAAAATAAACTGTTTATGTAATAAGAAGGGTAATCCTTGGTCAATAGGTATCCTGTGAAAAGTAAACATCCTTATATAATCACCCTAATTGTAATGGTGAAGATTTGTTTATGTAATTGTTCATATATATATATATATATATTCACTGTATCTTTGTTATTTGTAGTTAATGAGAAATAAAATTTATTCATTTATTCAGATTATCTAACTGTTAAAATTGTAACCAATTAAAAGAATTAACCTATTCATTGTTTTAAGGGCATGCAATACATAAAAAATCCCTCTATCATTTTCCCTAAAGATTTTGACACAAAGTCAATTTTGTTATGCACTTGTGACCAAGCTAAAAGTCACTTCTCATATTATTTTTTACTTTTACTTAAAATTAACAATTTTGGCATTTAGGACTTATATTATTTGTGTTTGATATTATATTTGATATTTTGGTTTCAATTTACATTTCTCACATATAACTTTTAATCAACATATTTTGATGTGTCAAATTTACTATGCACTCTTTTGATATGAAGTTTTCGTGATTAATTAGGATTGTATCAAATTATGGTGTTTAGAAGTTGTTCATTACAAATACATGCTATGTAAAAATGTATGATATATCTCTTTTGGGAATAATTAATATATGAACATCCAACTTAGTGTTTTATTGACTATCAACTGTATTGCCAAAGGAAGCTGGACTTAATGCTCTACCAACCCAAAGCTCTGAGTTAGTTCCGTGCAAAATAATATGATCAGAGCTGGGCCACAGAATGACATCTAGTACCCTTACCAATTGACTTGCCTGGTCATAGAGACCTGACAATCATGAAATATTTAAGGACTGTCCAATCAGATTTAGTCCTTCATCAAAAAACGTTGAACTATTTCCTTTTTTAATCCCACTATTAACAACATAAAATCTAGTGGGTTACTAAACATTAATTTGAAACACAACATTACATAATGGATCTCTTTTATTTAATCCTCAAACGAAATACAGCTTGCCTTAATTAAAAGGTGCTAATTCAGCTTATTTATCAATTAGTTTCAAACTTATTGATACAGACCAAATTTCTTGGATGATTACAATTTCAGAAAAAGATCTTAATCCTTAATCTCAGACAATAAACAAAATCTAATCTTGGCATGTTTGCAAAGAGAGTAAAAGCTGACACAAAGAATTCTGACTTTTAATTCTTAATAAAATGCTTCGCTGGGGCGCAGCTTGATACGACCGCAGAGGTCGAACCCTGAACAGTTGGGGCAAGTATGGACACAACATTCAAGCTTGATACAGCTCTGAATTTGGATTGTTATTAAATATTTGACACAGCATAGGTTTCTGACACAGAAAGAATGTGGTCTAAGAACTTGAATTTTTTTTAATTTACCTATTATGGTCCAATGTCCAAAATCAAAATACATGGTTAGATTCAGCATATCAAAGAACCCCATATATTCAATTTTTGTTAAAATCAAACAAAGTTTAATTTTGGACCCCAACTTGGACAAACTTGAAAACTGGGCCCATAATCAAAAATCTAAACACATGTTTAGATTCAGCATATCAAAGAACCCCAAGAATTCAATTTTTGCTAAAATCAAACTAAGTTTAATTTTGGACCCTTTGGACCTTAATGTAGACCAATTTAAAAAACGGGACTTAAAATTAAAAATCTAAATACACGGTTAGATTTGGAATATCAAAGAACCCCAATAATTCAATTTTTGATGAAATCAAACAAAGTTTAATTTTGGACCCTTTTGACCTCAATATGAACCAATTTGATAGCGGGGCCCACAAATAAAAAATCTAAATTCATGGTTAGATTCAGCATATCAAAGAACCCCATATATTCAATTTTTGTTGAAATTAAAAAAAGTTTAATTTTGGACCCCAACTTGGACCAACTTGAAAACTGGGCCCATAATAAAAAATCTAAACACATGTTTAGATTCAGCATATCAAAGAACCCCAAGAATTCATTTTTTGTTAAAATCAAACTAAGTTTAATTTTGGACCCTTTGGACCTCAATGAAGACCAATTTAAAAAACGGGACCCAAATTAAAAATCTAAAAACACGGTTAGATTTGGCATATCAAAGAACCCCAATAATTCAATTTCTGATGAAATCAAACAAAGTTTAATTTTGGACCCTTTTGACCTCAATATGAACCAATTTGATAGCGGGGCCTACAAATAAAAAATCTAAATACATGGTTAGATTCAGCATATCAATGAACCTCATATATTCAATTTTTGTTGAAATCAAACAAAGTTTAATTTTGGACCCCAATTTGGACCAACTTGAAAACTGGGCCCATAATCAAAAATCTAAATACATGTTTAGATTCAGCATATCAAAGAACCCCATATATTCAATTTTTGTTGAAATCAAACAAAGTTTAAATACTGGACCCTATCTTGGACCAACTTGAAAACTGGGCCCATAATCAAAAATCTAAACACATGTTTAGATTCAGCATATCAAAGAACCCCAAGAATTCAATTTTTGTTAAAATCAAACTAAGTTTAATTTTGGACCCTTTGGACCTTAATGTAGACCAATTTAAAAAACAGGACCCAAAATTAAAAATCTAAATACATGGTTAGATTTGGAATATCAAAGAACCCCAATAATTCAATTTTAGATGAAATCAAACAAAGTTTAATTTTGGACCCTTTTGACCTCAATATGAACCAATTTGATAACGGGGTCCACAAATAAAAAATCTAAATACATGGTTAGATTCAGCATATCAAAGAACCCCATATATTCAATTTTTGTTGAAATCAAACAAAGTTTAATTTTGGACCCCAATTTGGACCAACTTGAAAACTGGGCCAAAAATCAAAAATCTACATACATGTTTAGATTCAGCATATCAAAGAACCTCATATATTCAATTTTTGCTAAAATCAAACAAAGTTTAATTTTGGACCCTTTGGACCTTCATATGGATTTTTTTGTAAAAAAAAAAGATGCAACATTTGCAGATATTTTTACTGGTCTCCCTTCTTAAATATGCATTTCTTTAAACATAATTTAAAAGCAGTGTAAGGGAAGCAACCAAAACGTTGTATTTGGATTACCTCCCTTACACTGTTTTAAATTATCTTTATTGTTCATTAACCATTACTTTATACATAATTTAAAAGCAGTGTAAGGGAGATAATTTCAATGATGTATTTGATTTATCTCCCTTACACTGCTTTAAATTATGTTTTGTACTAAAGTATTTGTCCATTAACCAGGACAACTTGTTTTTCCCCCTTTTTTGCCCCTAATTCCTAAACGGTTTGAGCCATAACCCCCCAAAGCAAATCCTAACCATCCCTTTGTGGTATGGAAACTTGTAGTATAATTTCAGAGAGATCCATACACTGTTCCACAGTTATTGTCTGGAAACTATAAAAATGCTTATTTTTGGCCCCTTTTTGGCCCCTAATTCCTTAACTGTTGGTACCATAACCCCCAAAATCAATCCCAACCTTCCTTTTGTGGTATTTAACCTTATGGTCAAATTTCAAAAAGATCCATTCACTTATACTAAAGTTAGAGTGCGAAAACCAATGTGTATTCGGACGACGACGCCGGACGACGACGACGACGACGACGACGACGCCAACGTCATACCAATATACGACCACAAAATTTTTTTGCGGTCGTATAAAAATGACACTGAAATCTAAATCCTAAAAATATTTTGAATATCTTGAAATTATAACATAAATAAATAAATATGAATTTTTCTAAGGGAGACAATTATCATAAAAATATTGCAAGTGAAAAGGATGCCACTTTTCACTGGTGACACACTATCGAAATATGCAAAGTAAAATATACCATCATGACTTACTTTTCATGATTCATCTAAGAACACAAAATTTCATTTTTCAATAATTTTGAAAAAAAAAACACAACTTTCAATTTTTAGCTAGAAATAGAGCACCTATTTTTTTAAATGCTGGATATCCAATTTCCCTTTTTTTTGTGCAAAATTATGTTGCAGTGAATTTTTAATGCAACATAATCACTCAGTTTTTCCTGCCATACATAGAAACACAATGGGAATTACTGTCATATACGATTGTATTGATGATAGAATAGTAAACAATCTTTTATTTGCCTCAAATTTTATGCCCCTGCAGTAGATTTTGTGTGCTTAAATATATTAATGTTGGTTTTCCATTGCAAATACTTTCAAAGTCATGTAATTGATTTGATGACCTTAGATATTTTTCCCTGAGTTTTGTATTCTTA